TGTCCCTTTTCCTGCTGAACAAACAATTAAGAAAAGAAAGTACCGGGCGCTCGGTGGAACTTGTCATGCACAGGCTCCCGCGGGTATCCCGGGCGCTGCGCGGCCCCGGACGCCGGGCCGGAGCCCTGGGCGGCCCTGGGCGCCCGGGACTGAGAGAGGGTGGCGGGAGGCTGCGCACCGGGAAAGGCATTTCGGACCGGGAGCTCGCTGCCTGTCCGCCCAGCCTCGGGCCCGTGTAACTTCTCCGCAGGAGAGAGCGGCTGTGACGGTGGCAGCCTGCGGCCGGGGCCGGGAGGGACGGACGGCCGGACGCGGGGACGGGCGCAGGAGGACGGAGAGGACGAGCGAGAACAGGAGCTCCTGCCCCGGCCTGCTTTCGGCTGCCGCCGGCACCTGTCCCCGCTCCCCGCTCTGCTGACCGCCACCTCCGCCCGGAGGAAGCCCCCGGTGCCCGGGCAGCCTCTGGGGGCTGCGCCCAGGGCGGGCAGGGCTGTGTAGCCGCCTCGGGGGCGCTGCAGGGAGCGGGTCCCCGGTGCCGGGCGCTGCCGCGCCGCCCCCCCTTGCCCCCTCCCCGCGGCCGGGGGTGCTGGCCCAGGCAGTCCCCGGCAGCTCCGCGGCGCCCGGCTCCGCCGCGCTGCCCCCGGGCTATGAATAAAGCCGAGGCGGCCGGGGGGACAGGTACAGGTGCCCGTCTCCTGTGCGCAGGGCTACGCCGACGTCCCAGCCCGCCTCCTCCAGCGGGAGGGAAACAAAGACGGCGAGAGAGGCAGGGAGAGTTGCCTGTAAGTTTAGCGCCTTTCAGTCGTGACTCGCGGAGATAAATGATAGTTTGGAGGTGCTCGCTGTTAATCACCACCACGGCTGCCGTACAGCGTGTGCAACCCGCAGATCATTAGGTTAAATGGAGGACATTCGTGTCCTTCCAGAATCAATGCAATTATTGTTGGCAACAAGGACAACAATTGGAGTGGCAGCACTAATTTTACTAACCTGCTATTAATTATGGTGTCCCCCACGCCCCAGACGGCGTTTATAACCCGCGGAAGCAAGCGGCGCTGGCTGCTTCTGTTTTAAAACGGGAAAAGTTGGAAGTGGAATGCCTGGTCGTGTTGGAAAGTGTTAATCAGTAGGAAAGAGTGTGATCAGTGGAACTATTCACTTGAGCGTCACTCTGGTACAGGGGGTTAGTGAAGTGGCTGTGGCGCCTGGGGACCGAAGGCTCCGTGCCGCGCCGCGCAGGTACCGCGCACTGAGACATGTCTGCGTTAGCTCCCCGCAGCTCCCTGCCACGCCAGCCAGCGCACACCAGAGGAGAGAAGCCCTGCCATGGCACAGCCATCGCTACCGGGTTTTAACCGAAGCCTGGCGTGATCGCAGGTAAAAAATTTCTTCCTTTGGTGGTGATGCCTGTGAGAGAGAGAGAGTGTGTGTGTGTGTGTGTGTCTCTATGGAAGCGGGGGGTGGAGGGGAGCGGTGGGGCTTACCCCCCCCCCCCGCCCCCCCTTCTCCTTCTGAGCCTGCTTTAGCAGCAAGGCAGCTGAAAACGAACTGCTGGAGGGAAGAGAAACTATCCGTGATGAATCATTTGGCTTTGTGCAATCTTTACCTAGGACAGAGGGTAAATGTATTTTAACATACTTGTGTTATTTCTTGGGAAGGGGGTGTGGATATGATATTCAGCGAGCATTAAGGTAAGGTACTGAGTCCAACTTTCTGGATTTTAAGGCGAACTTTAAAAAACAGAATTTGACCTTGTAAGCAGGAAAGTTTTACTTCACAGGGAAGTAAGTTGAAGCTGTTGGCTGCCAGAGAGCTCAAAGGTGGTGGCGTCTAAATGCCTGTGGATCTGCAGCACTGGGGGTACAGGGGCTGAGAAAGAAAGTCTTATACAATCTTTGCTTTGCTAGTGAAGGTGTAGTTGCAATGCTGTGCACAGAGCAGGTAAATGTGGGCATGTTGTAAGGTCCATCTATAGCCATAGAGCAGCTGCTCAGGTCGCAGCATTTACTTCTCTTGCTGAAAAGTTTTGTGTGTGTGTGTGTAGGTGTGCATGCAAGAGACAGAGAGAAAAAGAGAGAGAGAGAGAGAGAGAGAGAGAGAGAAAATGCGGGCTCTAGTTCTTAAGTGTGAAAAGTTAATAAACACAAACAACAGAATGAGCATGTGAGGCCTTTCTGCTTTAATCTAGATGTTTGCCAAGAGGATTGAAGACTTACAAAATGAAAGCATTCAAATGGATAGCTTTGAACAGACTGATTTTACATGTAGTTGGAAACTGAGTAAATTAATTAGCAGTGCCTTCTTATGCAACTGTTCTGTTGGTCATCATGGTTCTGCCAATCCCAAGCCATGGCATGGGTTTGTGCAGGTCGGAGGCATCATCTCACTGTCCCTTGATTCAGAGTGCAGGAGGTGCAGTTACACCTCAAATTGGCTCAGGAAAAAAACCCAATCATATTTACTGCCAATAGCAAGTTTGTGAGAGCTAACCTTCTTGAAAATGTTGTAGGCAGCTTGTGGTTCCAAGTTAGATTCCAAATGGGCAACATGTAGAGCTTCACAGCATTTGTCAGGCGGTGTCAATGTTGCTTTAAGTCTGTAACATGAAAACAAAGCAAACTTAACTGAAAGATCTCGCTAAAGTCTGTTTAGCCCATAAGCAAATTCCGTTGCTGAAATATTTCCAGGAGTGGCAATAACCCCTCCAAAAGAGAAGGCGATGAAAATGCAGATAGTAAGTGTAGCTGCATTAACTGCCTCTAGATCATGTCCCTGAAGACGTCCATCAAAGCCTGAGTCCTGAAGAGGTTCTGTTTTACCTGCTGTGGCCTGTTCCAGCATCACACTCTTTCATTCTCATTCCATGTTTTTACAATAAAACTTGTATGAGCATTGGCTCCAGGTACTCAGAGGAAAACCTCATAACCCTGGGAGAGAGACCTGGATGGGCTTTGGATGGGAAATACCTGCTTGCCTGAGTGTGCAGGCTGGTTCTGACCATAAGGGAACTCTCCAGCCTTTCCTATTGATCGTGGTGGGTTTCCTTGCTCAAACTTTGGAGAAAGCGGTGTGTGTTTCTTTCTTGAAAGCTGTTAACTGCATTGTACAGGAAAGGGGCTTTGACAAGGATCAATTTTTATTGCACAGCAAAGACTTGCATTTTCCAAATGCTTAAGGATATAGCCCACAGCATTAAGCGTCTTTGCTTGGATTTGAACAGTGTTACCTTGTCTATGTGCAAGAACCACAAAGGTTATTTTAAATCATTGTGGGGCTTAATGCATGTTTGTGCTCTGGCACCAAAAATTTAAGATGAAATATAATTGTGTTGAGTTTCTTATCAACAAAGGGCCATTATTAGTAGACTGTAAGTGAAACAAGACATCAGCAGTGGGGGAGGAAGTAATGTCAGCTTTCAGCGTTTAAGGTTATTAAGTTTTTTTGTCGCTTTTTCTTTTTGTTTGTTTATTTTGGTGGGGTTTTTATTTAATGACTGCTTTCTAGGGAATACAGATTGGAACTGACACAAAGCTGACCGGGGGTAAAGTAATAGAGCAGGCAGGCTGCAAAGAAAAATGACAAATAATTATCATGATTAATACACTAAAGTTCAGTGTGAAAATGGGCATCAGAGTATTTGCATTGCGCAGTGAAAGACAACTGTGATATATAAATAGACAACGACTATAAATATTGAATTTCTCTTGTATTTTAAAGTTTAATAGACTCATCTAAATATCAAAACCTGTAGTGCACTGTGGGCCACTGCGGAGTTGACATCTGCAGTGGAAAAAAATATAAATAAAAACTAAAAACACAAAAAAAACCATGCAACTCCAGGACATTTCCCAAACTGTAGCTTGGAAAACTGGGAGGACTTCTTCAGGCAGTTCTCCAGCACTCCCAGCTAATTATAGTGCTTTACACCGAGCCGCTCTTGAGATAAGTGCAACTATTTTCTTCCCTAGCACCGGTGAGTTTTATTCCGAAGCTTAAACAAACATCCCCCAGAGCAATGGGCACAGGAGGCAGAGGGAGCAGCACGGAACACTGCGTGCAGACCATTGTGTAAACACTGGGTGTCTTTTCTTCCCAAACAATGCAATAGTCCGTCAGCACTCCGCACAGAAGGAAGCTGCTGGTAAAGAGTCGCTAAAAGTATTATTATACCTCGGCAGCACCGGGGTATAGTGCAGGAGGAGGAATAGAGAAGCCCTTCTATAAAAGAAACCCAATGGCAAAGTTATTAATATTCTCAGAAAGAAAAAGAAATTCGCATTTCAGGTGAGGAAAGAAAAAGCACTTTCTTCCCATCCAAAAATCAATACAGAATTCCAAACCGATTATTTATGTCATTTGATTCCCTTTCTTTATACGTTTCTCCCGGCTATAGATACTGAGCTGTCAGGATAATTTGCATGTACTGTATCTGATATCTTTTATTTGCAAACACTCTAAAGCGCCATAAAACGCCTCTCATTGTAGTCTAACTCGATCTGAGGACTAGTATTTTCATCTGTAAATTAAAGCAATTACGCAGCAGATATTATATTATGTGTACTGTGGTCTCCAGATAGTCATCAATCACCCTCAATCGAGCTGTCAGTGTGGGCAGATTCGTTTCTGGGAGGCAGTCTTCCAGCTGGGGAGAAGAAGAGAATATCATCATTAATTAGAGTGTGACCCTGGGGCTATTCACATGTCTGAACCCAGGAATCTCTCTGAGCAAGTCTGCACACCATGGAGCAGCGTTCGACTGCACCAGCAGCCCAGCTCCAGCCTCGGAGCTGACTCCTCCGCTCCCTCCGTCCAGCCGGGGGCTGCCTGCTTGCCCTGCCCCGGTGGTACCGGCAGTCGGGGGAGAGCTGCTGGGGCTGCCAGCATCTTCCCCCCACGGCCCGTTCCCTCCGAGCGTGCAGCAGGGGGGGATTGCTGCCTGCTTGTGTGGGAGGGGGTCCCAGACCCCCAGAGGGTCTGGAGGCTAATGGCAGCGGTGGGATGGGTCGGGTAGAAGGGGGTGTTGGAAGTTAGAGATGGGATCAAAGTATTTTTAACGTGAAAAGTCACATCTTTTCCATCATTCCCCGGAAGACGCTTGTAGGGTTTTCTACCTGTAATCACACGCCTGGAATAAAAGCCGAAAAGAAAAGGAGGATTGCTTATTATGTGCTTTATTGTCAGCGTTAGCGCTAATTTTAACTGTTGATTAAATCTTAAATGAAGACTCAGTCGTGTGTCCCTTCATATGTCTTGTTTGTAATTGAGACTAATTATTACTGTGGGGTGGGAAGAAGCAGCTGCTCATTAATTAATTTCTAATTAAAAGTGCTTACTAGCCTTTCAGTGACTAAGGAAGGTGGGGAAAATAGCTGATACAACATTGATCCTTCAGATTAAAAACATTCATTTCCTTCCCTTGCCCCCAGAAATATATGTGTTGCAAGCAGGCGTTGCTGCTACCGAAGAGCTTCCCAAACTTTTCTCCCGTTAGGCAGGCTAAAGGCGATGCTGGAGAGTCTATTTGCCATGCCAGGGGAAAGATTCCCGAAAATGAGTGTTAAACTTACAGGCAGGTTAATTTGAGTAGGTTTTGCGTGACGTCAGAGGGTCGGCTCTTTTAAAACAACGTGCTTGTGAGCTGATGCATTTGTATCACTTTTCTTCTTCCCACCTTTTATTTTTCTGTGGGTGCAAAGTATTTATTTTTGCTGTCACGTCTGTCAGCCTTGGAGCCTACATGCGACAATTATTTCTGTGTCGTAGCTGTAGCGGGGAAGGTGCTAAAATCGCCGTACATATTTAAAAGGAAAAAAAGAAAGTTTAAGTTTTCATGTAAATAAATTAAATGTGGTTTTCTGCTTCGTCCTATAAGCATCTAGGGACCTGTGGTTACCAATCAGTTGGTACAACAGAACAGAGCCAGGCTGCAATAGCGTGCAGATCAGACGCCTCGCCTTGTTTCTAGATAACTGGGAGCCTCTGTACCATGTCCTATCCTCAGTTTGGCTACCCTTACTCCTCTGCACCCCAGGTAAGACTTTTTGCCTACCAACGTTGCTTGATTGAATTTCAGTCCTTATCGATGCCTTCCGTCCGGGATAAGGGCGGCAGCGATCCTCTCCCGGCACGCAGTAGCGGCAAAGCATATGCTCACCCCACCGCTTTCCAAGACGCCCAAGTTCTGTGTCGGGCACCAGTTTTAAAATGGGATGAAACACGCGGGATTTGGGGTGTTTGGGGGTGATAAAGACGCGTGGGAAATGATTACAGAGATGAGAGAGGTGAGAAGGGGATCTAGAGATCCCCAACCCCCACCCGCATCCCTCCCCCCCCCCCCCGATTTTTTTTTTCTCTTTCATGATTAAATTCACAGTTTATCAATTAAACATGGATGTACGGAGGTCCGGCCCGTAGAAACAGAATGGGATATTCTAAACCAGCAGGTTAATAACAGATGCGTGCGTGGCTGCTACAAATCTGCAGTCAAAATAAATATGCATGAATGACTTTGAAAAAAAGGGTTTAAAAACGCAGATGGGAATCATTGTGCTGCAAGAGGGGAAAACGGTGTAAACCCCAGTCCTGTGAAAACACCCCAGGAAAAGTTAGCTTTTAAATGCAGAGGGCCTGAGGAATGTATTATAGAGGATTAAACATCCACAGTCACGGGGCGTTTCGTGGTTGTTGCTGTGGAGTAGTTCTAAAAAAACTGATGAAATACTTGCATCTCTGCGCTTCTCCAGAGCGTTTCTATCACGATTGAAGTAAAATACGGCAGGGGAGGGAAGAGGGCAGGCGACACCCCAAAGCTACGACCTGATTTGAAGAAAAAAACACCCCAAAACAAACCCAAACAAAAACCCACCAAACCCGCACAATCTAAAAGCAACCGAACCCAAACTTGGTTGTACTTTGGGAAGTTCCCCCCAACCCTGCCCTCAGCGCCGCTCTCTTTCCCTCCAGTTCCTGATGAGCACCAACTCCCTGACGACCTGCTGCGAGTCCAGCAGCCGGACGCTGGCTGAGACGGGGGCGGCCGCCTCCGCCCAGACCCCCGTGTACTGCCCGGTGTACGAGAGCCGCCTGCTCGCCACCGCCCGACACGAGCTCAACTCCGCCGCCGCCCTGGGGGTCTACGGCGGACCCTACGCCGGGCCCCAGGGCTATGGAAACTACGTGACCTACGGTACCGAGGCTCCCGCCTTCTACTCCTTGGTAAGCCGCCCCGGGGATGCTCGCTCCCTCCCTCCCGCCGTCCCGCGCTCCCCCCGGGGCCCGGGGGCGGAGGCCGCTCGGCGGGACCCCCTCCCCGGGCGGGGGCAGCCCCGGGCGCTTCCCCTCCGCCCCGCCGTGCCGCACGGCGCTCTCCGCGTCCAGCCCCGCGGTCAGCAGCTGTTCCAGCCCGCCGCTCGCTCCTCACGGTAGCGCAATTAAAAGTCGCGCCTGACGAGCTGGCAGCCGAGTGCGGAGGGCCCGTCCGGGCGGGCGGTTTAGGACGACCCAGACATTGGCTTGCAAAAAAAAAAAAAAAAGATGCGGTCTTCCCACACGGCCTTTTTTCTTTTTCTTTCTCTTTTTTTTTTTTTTTTTTCCTCTATTTCTCCCCCCTGCACCGTAACAGCGCGAGTTAATGTCCCTATTGATGTGGCGGCCGAGGGGCCCCGGGAAGGTCCGTCGCGCCGCTCCGGGATGCGGGGCGGGAGCCGGGCGGCGGTGCCGGGCGGGGCCGGGCTGTCCCGGCGGGTCCGGGCTCTCCCGGTGGGCCCGGGTTGTCCCGGCGGGGCCGGGCTGTCCCGGCGGCGGGGGCTGAGGGCGGCGGGCGGCGTCTCTTGCAGAACAGTTTGGAGGCGAAGGACGGGAGCGGCTCTGCGCATGCGGGCATCGCCCCGGCGGCTGCCTACTACCCCTACGATCACACCCTCAGCCAGTACCAGTACGACAGGTAAGCGCCATCCCCGGCCCGGCCCCGCTCGCTGCCCTCCAGCCCCGCCACCCCCTCCCCGCCATCGCCTCCCTGCCCCGCCCCGCCAGCCCCGCCAACCTGCCTCCTCGCCTCTCAGCATCTCCCGGCCCCAGCCATGTCGCCTCCCCTTTCCCACACCGACACAGGGTCCTCCGCCCCCCGGGCGGGCGATAGCGCGGGGGCAATCCCTCTTATCCGGGGCGGTAATTATCTTTCCCTGCGCAGAGTCAGGCTTGGGCATCCCGTGTATATTTATTGGTTTTAAACCAGCGCAAAACCCCTTACACACCGCTCCCAGCTCTGAGGCCCGTTGGGCGCTAGTGACCTTTCCTGGAGGATGTGCATTAAATATTCAGTCGCAGCCCAGTGTCATCTGCGTTAGGGTCCTACAATTTCAAGAACAAAAGGGTAGAGGAGATTACTAATAAAAGGAGTAAGAGGAAATATATTTCTATTAACACTTACACCCTGGGGTCACCCCTATGAATTTTGTTTGGGGAGAACTAATAAAACGAGACGAAAGTGGTATTTCTGTGAGTTTGCAAGCTGCTAGGATTTTCCTGCTGCCCAAAATGTTGACATTGACTTTACTGCAAATAAAAGCAGACTATTCCTTCCCTGTTTCTGCCACCACCGCCAAGGCAGAGTGGAAATTTGCACTGCCCGCCGCTGCTGCTGGCTGAGCCCTTCATTCTTGCTTTCCTTCCTCGGCCTGAATTATCTGGGCTGGTCTCCCTAATAAAGCTGAGCTTAAAACCGAGCTGTCCTCATCCATCTCCCCCCTCTCCGGTCCAGCTGCGCTCCGGGGGGTGCCGCAGGCAAGCGGCCGGGGCCGGGGCTCTGGGACCCCGCGTCGGGCAGGTGCGCGGGGGGTGAGAGCGAGTTGTCACATCCCTGTGCCTGCAGGTACGGGACGATGGACGGCGGGACGCGGAGGAAAAACGCCACCCGAGAGACGACCAGCACACTGAAGGCCTGGCTGCAGGAGCATCGCAAGAACCCCTACCCCACCAAGGGCGAGAAGATCATGCTGGCCATCATCACCAAGATGACCCTCACCCAGGTCTCCACCTGGTTCGCCAACGCCCGCCGGCGGCTCAAGAAGGAGAACAAGATGACCTGGCCCCCGCGGAACAAGTGCTCTGACGAGAAGCGGCCCTATGAGGAAGAGGAGGAGGAGGAGGAGGAGGGTTCGCAGGAAGAGGCGATGAAGAGCGGGAAAGCCGAGGGTACCCTGCTAAAACCAGGCACTTAGCGGTGCGGCCGCGGGGGCTCGGCCGGCAGCTCGCCCCCGGGGCGGGCCTCGCTGGTGGGGGCGGCCGCGGGCCTCGCTGGTGGGGGCGGCCGCGGGGCAGTGCGGCCCCGACAGTGACCGTGTGTCTTGTTTTTGCTGTCCCTTCCCCCGCCCCCGCCCCGCAGAACCCACGGGCAAGGAGGAGAAGGAACTGGAGCTCAGCGACCTGGAGGACTTGGACGCCGCCGAGTCGGAGAGCTCGGAGTGCGAGCTGAGGCGGCCCTTCCCACACTCGCTCCCGCATCCGCACCCGGTCCCGCTCCCGCTCCCGGGCGGCAGCCACCCGCCGCGGGCCGCCGAGCTCCCCGCCAAGATGCCGACGCCGGCTGCCGCCAGGGAGGAGGAGGAGGAGGAGGAGGCGGTGGCAGAGCGGGCGCGGAGCTGCCTGAAGACGGCAGCGGAGGAGTGCGGCCCCGACCCGCTGGGCGCTCGGCAGCGCGGCTGCGAGTCCAAGATGTGCTTCCAGCAGGGGCAGCAGCTGCTGGAGGCGAAGCCCAGGATTTGGTCCCTGGCGCACACTGCCACCTCCCTCAACCAGGCCGAATACCCCTCCTGCATGCTGAAACGGCCGGGGGGCTCGGCCGCCGCCGCCGCTCCCGCCCCGGTCAGCGTCATGGACAGGCACCAGGACTCGCCGGTCACCAACCTCAGGAACTGGGTGGACGGGGTGTTTCACGACCCCCTGTTCAGGCACAGTACTTTAAATCAAGCCCTGAGCAACACAACAGTTTCCTGGGCTACCACCAAAGGAGCCATTCTGGAAACGGGCGCCTTGGGACGCGCGGTGGGGAACGGCGCCAATGTGCTCAAGGGGCAGCTCTCAAACCTGGCCCACCATGACTCAAACAAAGAGTTTCTGGCGTTTCCCAAATCAGGAAGCAAAATGTTTTGTTCCTAACAGGCCCGCCGAGGGGCAAAGGACTTTCTAACGCTTGAAGAGTCAGCTACACTGAAAAGAGACTTGCAAGAGTTTAAATTTAAATATAAAACTTTTTCTTTTTCTTTTTTTTTCTTTCTTTTTTTTTTTTTTTTTTTAACAAGCAACATAAACGAGGATTTATTCAGTTTGCTCAGTTCAACGGAAAGACTTTGCTCATTGCTGTTCTGAACATTTTCTCCTGGCTGCGACTTTAAGGGATCAATGTCCAATGTCGTGAAAGTTATTTAATTCCGTGTCCAAAAAGCACGTACTATAGTGTAGACCTACTTTAAAAGTTTACATCCGAAAGTTTACAAACGGGAAATTTTAATTCAGATTTAATTTAAGGCATGCCGACATTAGTTGTAAAGACTTTTCGAGAGTTTTTCCTCCTGATTTCCTTGTTAGCATATAATTCACAAACAGCACTTCTACTAAGTTTACACCTACTGCACAAATTTATCTTGACAAAAAAAATATGTTAAAAGGTATGCTCACTCCAATAAATTGTCTGTTTCAGAGGTAACACAAGTGGTGGCGTTTTGCATTGGGCAACAAACAACTTCTATGTTTCAAATTCCCCCTCGGAGCCGAACCCGGTAATTCCAAGGACTGTCAACAGGCTGCCGGGAATGGGGAAGAGAGGCTCAGCGCAGCGCTGCCGCGGCACTGAGGACGGAGGCACGCTGCGCGCAGGAGGGATGCTGGGCTGCGCTCCGCGCCGGCCGTGCCTCCGCGGGGCAGCGCCGGGCCCTCGCCGCCTCCCGGGCCGACAGCGGGGGCTCCGGCAGCCCGCCGAGGCCCGGTGGGGCGAAAGCATCCCCCCCTACCCCCTCCCCTCCTTCCCGAGCTGCGGGCGGGCGGGGGTCGGCCCCCAAGGGCCGGGCTCTGCCGCGGCGTCGCCTCCGCCGTGCGCGGAGCAATTGATTCACATGGAAAATTTGATCTTTTAAAGAACCGTTTTAGCTTTCCAGCTCTTCTGCCAGTGCGGAGAATCGCTGATCCGCCATGAATATTTCAGCACTTCAGTACAGATGCTTTACCGTTTTGACATTAAATAGAGTGCAGCCAACAAAAAGAGAGAGGGAGGAAGAGCGCTCTCGACGTGTGATTCAGGAGCACTCGCAGCCAATTTACCACTTAGATAACAGGCGCCTAAAAGATTTCATTTCCTTCCCCAGAATGGGAACAAACTTTACTGATCCCCGGACCGAGAGACAAGGGAGAACTGCTGGTAAAGGAACTACGAGGCAATAATAGATCCCGGCTTACCCGGGCCGGCCTAAAACCCCTGAGCCTCGGCGCCCGGCGCGGCGAAGAACCGAGAGCACCCGAAGGACCAAACTGACACCGGCACAAGCAGAAGAGCCTTCCTTGCCTCCCAGCATTCTCGCCCATCCCACCCCAGTGGCTCCTCGTCGGTCCAACCCCCTTCACAATAAATAAATAAGAATACAATAAAGGGGGAAAATATACAAAGGCAACTATAAACGCAACAGAGAAAACACTCAGCCGAAATATAACATACTCCAGCCTGCGAAGTTTCTAGCGAGACCTGTTAGTGCAAGGACTGAATAAGGGAATCCAGGTGCGGAGATCAGATCAAGCCCTTCCCCTCTCTGCGAGCAGCCGTAATTGGATTGTATCCAGTCATATTCCCTGTCATTGTATTGACTTTCGCTCTCTTGGATGATATTATCGAGATCACTGAACCCCTCTGCTGATCTGGCTGTCAAAAGGCTCAGACAGGAGCCCCCGGCCTGGAAAACGTGCATCAGCCGAGATAATTTGAAGTGAAATTTTCATTTTGACAGTAAACCCCTCAATTTCTAAAGGCTCTGCACCCGGAGAGCTCGGTGGCAGGGGGAGGCTTTACAGAAAGCCCACGTCTTAAACTGAAAAGGGCAAAAGAACTCGAATTAGTTGTAATAGATAAAAGGGCAAAAATAAAGAGTCAAGGGTACTTGACAGTAATAGCGAAAGTGGAGTCTCGGGGGAGCCGCGATCTGAGCTAAAGGCTGGGCCGGCAGGAATTTTAATGCAGCCGGGGCGGCCGGCAAGCTTTGCCTCTGAAACCCTTTAGACAAAGCAAATTATTTTCAGCCAAACTAAAGAGACGGGGATGAAGGAGGCGAGGGAGAGGGAAAGGGAGAAAGGCGAGTGTTTGGACTGCCCTCAAACCATTGATAGAGTCAAGCGGGATGGGGCATAAACCCCTCAGAGTGATGCGAGGGTGATGTTAAAGCGGCGAGGTTTGTGTGCACCAGCCTTACTGGATGTGCAGGGACTGGAGGGGACACGGGGGCTCCCGGTGGGCTTCGGTTTCCATGCGACAGAGGCTCTGTGGAGTGGAAGGGGACTCCATTTTTTCTCCTAACACAGCGACAGCCGAGTGTGTGTGTGTGGATTCTGTGTGTCTGCGTGCAAGGAGAGGTCTCGTCCACTGAGCAGCCAAAAATCTCTCTCAGCCTGAAAAGCTCCCTGACTTTGAGGAGCGTCGGCCCCCACCGGCCTCTCTGGGCTGGCTCTCGGCGGGTGATCCCGCAAGCCATAAAAGTCATTTTACAAGTCATTGCTGGCCGGCTAGGTCCAGGATTCAGTTCGGACATCCCGTTGTTTCGTAGGCAACACTCTCCCTCTCCCCCCGCTCCTTCTCTCCTCCGGACTTAAAATGAAGGTGATAACACTGCGCAAAACACAGGCGCACTGAAATACCAGAAGCCCAAAGAAAAGCGGATTAACACGTTACCCCTTCATTTTCATGTTATTGTTGTTACAAAACAAGTTTGAGTAAGTTTATGACTGCTGTGTTACAAGAGCAGTGCTCTCCAGACCAAGGAACAGGCTGTATCTCGGGTCTGGTAAATCTGTGTGTGCTCACACCAAAACATTGTCCATCCTGAGAGGAGACCGTGTCAGTTAAGGGGGAGGGCAAAAAGTTTCTTGCTTTAATACACAAACCTTATGACTTAGATCAGCCATGAAAAGCAGACGTCTTTCAAAAGGGTCGGGGTTCTTGTTGTTTGGTTGTTTTGATTTTTTTATATGAACAAAAGAGTGTGAGAAATTAATTTTGCCCTTTGATTCAATAGCACAAGTCAAAGATCAGGTTCTGCTGCTTTAGAGGAAGCTGCAGGGCTGAAAGGGAAAGCTGTACAGCTCCTATGTCTGTACAAAGCAGAAATATAAAGGCAGACTGAGAAAGAAGGAGGAGGGAAAAAAATCATAGAGAAACGTCTTGAAACTGAGAGACTCTAAATCATTCAGCCGTGGCAAATTCAAACACACAAAGGAGGGGATGCTAAATTAACAGTGCTTTTTACATAGAGCCCAAATAAAACTGTAATCAGCGACGCGTTACTTTTCATTAAGCGAGTTTGACAGGAGCATATTCAGCCTCGACAAGGGAACAGGAGCAAAGAAATATACGGCTCTCCCAGCCCGAGTCATAAGATAATTCCTTAAGCTCCATTAACAACTCTTAGCCGCAGGAAATGGGCTCCCTGAAAACATCTCCAAATCTAAAAGCTTTATCGACCTCTCAAACCTCTGCTGATGGTTCTATTTTTTAAAAAAAACTTAGAGGCGAGACGTCCAGCAAGGTAATAGACTTTGACACAACACCTTCTTAACTAGAGAGAGAGAGGCAGAGAAAACGAGACCTTAAATGATATTTAAAAGGCAGCCAATTAAGATTTAAAATGATTGTCTCCTGAGATTATGCATGCAATTTATGTCATCTACTTTTTTTTCCAGACATGCATGCAAAATTGCAATGGGGCATATTGCCTGATCCTTAAATGATAATGATGATGATGGTAATGATAATAATGATGATGATGATGATAATAATAATAATATTAATAATAGAAGAAACAGTAGAAATTAACAATCTGTAGCTATCGCACATAATTGCAAATTATGATCCTGAAAAGAACTAGTGTTTAGGTAACCTGATTATAGAGTACCTTGAAACAGCCAGCTTATTTATAGGTGTCTAATTAAAAGACAGATAGATGAAATTATATGCACATTATCCACTAATGTCCAGGAGGACATTTCTTTTCATCCTGAGTGAATATTTGACTATTAAATTCCCACAATTAATTTATTGCTAAACAACCCAGTGTAGCATCTCCTTCCCACTGGCCACATGATAAAGTGTCCAAGAAGATTTTGTCTTGGTAAGACAGACTACATACTTTTAAGATACAATGGTTCAGAAAGAGATTCTGACTTACTACAGTCTTTTTGCTACACGTTTGCCTTTTCCATTTAAATCTGACCTTCAAATAATATGAAGGCTTGCGTGTGTGAAAGTGCATCCAGTTAAATGCCAAGAAAAGAGTTAATGCTCACATTGTATCATTTCATGCAGAAATTTTGTGAAATGCGAGAAAATATTATAACTTGCTGATTTTGTGAGAGATCATAAATTGTTTCAATGACTGTGATTTCTAGATGAATGAGGTGAAAAAAGATCATTCAAACACCACTGTGTTTTGGCCAAAGGTCAAAGTGTTTTGGTCACCACTTAGATTAAGTTAGTTCTGTCTATGAAGCAATGAGCTTGGATCTGAGTCCTGTGTGTCTTGAGGGCTGAGCATGTAACATAGTCCTTTAAAAAAGTGAAGAATGAAGGAATGTTAATGGTCAAATTATACATTTTTATTTGTGCGGCTAAAAAAAAAAAAAAAAGTAATAATTGTGCTTGTTCTTAAAGAGGAAGTTATTTTAAATAGAAGAACTAATGGTCAAAACACCAGTTCTGAAATGTGACATCTGGCATATTTCAACTCACATGTACTGTCAAAAATTCTATGAGGTGCTTAGGACTTGGGGGAAGCATTCTCTTCATCCTCCTCCTCTTCATCCTCCTTGTGAAATGACATCATGGCAGATAATAATCCTCAATTTGTAGGCTCCCTCAAAAAGCAGTCTTAAAATACACACCAGCTGTATGTGTCTGGAGGCAGTTTAATACATAAACCACTGGTCTCCTGTGCCATATGACTATATAGCAAAACTTGAATTTGTCTTAGAACTTGAAGACACATTTAAGACATAACATGAAGAACCAAGGGAAGAGGAAATGCTTAGGAGCAATTCAAAAGAAAATTATAGTAATTGCTTCCCAGTGTGCCCCCACTCCAATGAGAAATGAGACTGTTTTCAGGGAGGAAAGAAAGAAACCTCCATGCGACCTAGAGAGAGTGCATATATGCAAGCCCTGCTGGCATCCTGCTTCCCACAGTGGGGAATGTGGTCTGGGCATGAGAACAGTGATTGCCCTACTTACAGTGCTCAAGAGCTACTTCTTGTCCATCCCAGTTTAAGGAAAGCATGAAAATGAAGGAAATACCTTGAAGGAAAGCGTTCTCTTGATGTTTTTGGGTTTTTTTCCTGCCATTAAAAAATTCTTTTATTCATTCGTTTGGCTAGATAAAAGCAAGGGTATAAAAATATTTCTCTTCTCAGTTTTACCTCCATTTCCTTTCTCCAAATCAGCATGTCATTATTTAAATTTTGAAATGGGTTTCAGTAGTAGTTGGTAAGTATTTTTTCAGTGGTTTATGTGGAATCATAATCAGGTCATTTTTCAAACACTGCCTCAGAAATCTTTCTGAAATACTGCAAAGAATGATGGTGGCAATGAAATGGAACCGAGGAAATACCTACTTTCAACAGTATTTCATTAATTTATCCTACTCATATAGAATGCCAAAAAATCAAACAATTATGCACAAATATGTACTTGAGATTTCATCATATACTTTCTTATGTGCATTGTATTGTGAAACAGGACT